CGCAGGGGGCAGCGCCCCCTTGGACCCCCGGCAGACTGGTATATTTTTGTATTCATGTTATTTTATTATTGGTAGTACAAATAATTGTTATTTTTGTTATTTTTTGTCATTATTTAAAATTTTAAATTAATTTATTTTAATCGTTTTGAGGCTTACGCCTCGATCCGCCTCGAGGCTTACGCCTCGCCTTGCTTAGAAAAAATGCCTCGATTCCCGATTTCGCCTTTTAAAAACCTTGAAAAAAACATACTAATGTTCAATATAAAAATACAGAATATTTGATAGCATCATTATCTAAAGTCATTGCCAATTAACCACAGCCTAACAAATTTCTAAGGAAGTGATACTGAACAAGCACATAATCAAAATTTAATTCTTAACCTTAAAAGTTTAAATGAATGCGTACCTTGTTTGTGAAGCCCCTTACAATGCTGGGTCTGGGGAGGAAATGATCTACTCAACATTATCTCTGCATTACATAGAGGTTGTATGAGTGAAAAATATCATGTCGTTGACACCTGTTAATATGACTATGAAGGCAAAACAATGTTCGAAGAATGAAGTTGAATTAGTAATATAAAGTATGAGGTAAGATTTACTTGTACTTTGTGTAGAATGTAAATATCATAGTCCTTTTTACAAATTAATTTGTGTCTCCTTGCAAAATATAAGTAAAATTATGCTTAAGAAAATAGGATTCAATAAAGATTAATGGACAAGACTAGTCAAAGCCCGTTCATTAGATCGTCATATTATATAAAGATCTCACAAATGTATTACTGATATTAGATTAGGAATTGCATTGAAAGGATTTATAAATGGAAATAAAAATGATTTGGCAGAAAAAGGTTTCATGTATTGATTCTAGAGATGACAAGAAATCATGAAAAAAATAAAAAAAAACTCTTAGGAATTAGAAAGAAATTTGCATTCTTCAATATTAAAAGCAAATTTTAAATTTTTGTAATAAATTTAAATCTAAAATAGCGGTAGCTCCATGGCTGGGAGCAATTTTTCACAGGCCTCAAGCATTGGTAGTCCCTTATTATGGTTCAACGTTCAAGAATAATTTTTTTCCTTCCATAGCATGGAACGAATCCTATCAAATAAAAGCTTCGTAAGTACCTACCATCATTGATGAAATAAATAAACAGAGATTCATGATGCCTTGAGTTCTTATTTTCAAGGGGAAGTTTTATTAGGGAATTCCTTTTGAAATTTCTGATTTGTTTTTAACTAAGAAGTGAAAAACTCTAGTTTCTAATCTCATGGCTCAAATTGTCTGTAGTTATGAATCTTTATGTATAAAAGGTATACCCAATTCATGAGCCATTTTATCATGATTTGTCTAGGTGTTGATGCATATTGCCTTAATTCTTGTGTCGCAGAAAATTTATTTTTGTAATTTTAACCCGGGACCTCCCTAACATGAACATATAAATTGATGTTTATGCTTATGTAATTTAATTATCAGCATCACTTCACAATAAACTTTTACCATTCAAATTTTTTTCATGGCTCATGTTTATCATCTTACAGTTGTATTGGTTTGAATCTTTTTAAGTGGGTATTGCTAATTCCAGATGGCAATGAAGCTTGATTTCTCATCCCATATATGAAAACCCATTTTGTTTAATATGATGGAAGTGCATTTATAAAACTTGATGAAGTTTGTTACAGATGACTATCGTTTTGAACTTTTTAAATTTGGTACAGTTTTGATTTTGCATAATCTGATAGTGTTTATCCATCCGATTTTAGCAGAGGATGAGAGTAGTAGTGCTACCATTCAAGTTGTTCCGGACATTGGGCCTACTGTCAAATCAAATACACTATCCTTAATGGAGGCAGCAATTGCTGCTTTATCAAGAGAGTTGAGTAAAATCCGAACAGGAAGGGCATCTACAGGTGTACTTTACATTTTCTTTTTGATGGCTGCTGTCAAAACTTTCAAATTTGTTGTTTAAAATAGTTATACTCATACAACCTTTTGCAGGGATGTTTGATCATATAATTGTTGATGCACATGGTGTAAAGTTGCCATTAAATCGTGTCGCTGTTGTTTCTTCCGTAGATGCACACACTCTCTCAGTGACACCTCATGATCCCAATGTAACTAAATCTAACACAAAATTTTGCAATTGACTGCATCGCTGAAGTTATTTAATGCATAAGTTCTATCATTAAGAACCATGATTTATTTACCTGTATGTTTTGAGGAAGCTGATAATAATTTATAATTTTTGTGGCATTGGGTTGGGTGTGTCGTTAAGGATCATGTAACTTTTATGTTAATCAATTTTACAAGTGGAATAGAGAAAGTTACAATAGGTAATAGGAGAGTAAGGGAACAGGGCTGAGAAAGATGATGTGTTTCAAAGTATGGAATTGATTTGGCTAGAATTTTCTATAATGGAGATGATTTTTATGCTATGATAATAAATCTAGCAATACATAATACAATGAAGTATTTGTGAAATGCTTATATAATTTCCCCGAACTTGAACCCACGCTCACCAAAATTTTTGCTCTCTTTTCTTCCTCTTTCGCTACCACATGATTGATCTGTGGGATTCCTTCTACCTACTCATTACTTTGTGGACTATTGTCATTATTTTGCCAACTCATTAATCCATAAAAAATTGTAATGATTATTTTCTAATTTTATATAGTTTCTTATTAGAGGCTCTACTACAACAACAACAATATCAAGCCCTTATCCCAATACATGGAGTCAGCTACATGAATCCTTTTTCTCCATTGTGTTCTATTAAGAGTCAAATTATCATTTAAAAATAATAAAATTAGGTCATTTCTATTTTTTTTTTATTTTTTAAAATAGGTCATTTCTAATATTTTCTAACCAAGTCTTTTTAGGTCTACTTCTATCTATCTTAACATAGGCCAAATCAAATACATCTACTCTCTTAACCAGGTAATCATAAAGCCGATGTTTTATGTGATCAAATCATCTAAGGCTACTCTCTCTAATCTTATTTGCCACTGGAGCTACTCTTACCTTTCTATCACACAACAGGATTGATGCATTCATCCACTTCAACCATCCAACTTGAATTCTTCTAATGTCATCCCCATCTATTTCACCATCACTCTTAACAATAGACCTAAGAAATCTAAAATGTGTACTCTTATTAATGACTTGATTGTCTAAAGTCATAATCCCCATTAAATATATTACTATTAAAATTACACTCAATGTATTCGGTTTTAGATCTACTCAAGCAAAAACCTTTAGACTTTAAGGTTGACCTCCATAATTCAAGTTTACTATCAACAAGAAGAATATCACTGCAAAAATCATATGCTAGTGTACAACCTCCAGCAAATGACTAGTAAGAACATCCATGAATAAAACAAAAAGATAAGGGCTTAAAGATGATCCTTGATTTAATCCAACTGAAATAGGAAAATGCTTGGTTCAATCTCCTTATGTTTGAACACATGTAAGAGCTCCTACATACACATCCTTAATGATGTGAGTATTGTGGGCTACAAAAATTCGGCCTCGGCCTCCCTCACTGCTTTTTTGAGGGAGTTTTAACGGATTAAGTTCCAGGGTAAATTTTGGGAAGACAAATGTGTTTGTAGATAAGACACTACCCAGAGTTTTCGCCCTCATTTTGCAAGGACTTTATGATATGAGTTCTGGTTTCCTATAGGCGCAAGCCCCTGTAGCTAATTACCCCTCCCGATCACGAGAGAGAACTTTTGATTAAGGCTAGTCATTAATCAAATACATAGAAATATGTGGATATGGCATATAGTAGAAGCATGGGCTTAGGTACTGGAAGTTTGAAGATTTGATATTTAAAATTAGAAATTTCATTATCTTGTATTTGAAGCGGATGGTGGGGGAAGTGATGATGAGCCCGATCAAGATCCTATGGTTGCATCATCCCAGGCCATCGTGGTCCTTAGTCTACTTCGTCAGAGGAGGTAGTCGACCCAACCTGATAGAATGATCCCTTGTCGGCAGCCATGGGTTGCTTCATTCAAGGGTACCTTGTAGACATGGGGTGGGTGCATGTTTAAGGGGACAAATTTAAATCCACCTTAGCTAACAGAGGGTTTTGTGCCTTATTGATTATATCATATTGATTCATATCTCAAGGATTTGATGTCATTAAGGAACATTTTTGCTTTGACAATAACCGTTATCTTGTGGTGCCATTTGGCGATAAAACCACTCGGTTCACAGGGCCACATGTCATAATTGTTTGTCATGCGATGCCATTTGGCGGCAAAACCATTGGTCAGAGGACATGTATTACATCCTTACTGGCAGGAGATTATTTGAGAATTGATCATAGTGAAATTTTCGACTAGGAATCAGCTCTACGTGAGCTAAAGTAAATTTCAATTTGTCTATCCAACAAACTGTTGCGGAGGGTGGATTGATTTTGCTTTAAACACTTGAATGGTTGGATCTCAATTTTAAATATTTAAATTTGATATTTTTTAGAGTTTTGGATTTTGAATGGGTATTTGAGGTGACATTTGAAGTATTTGAAATTAACCTCTTCGATTGAGATTCTGCATTTAACACGGTCATCATCGAGGTGACTTCAAGACTACTTGAAAATACTTGAATTTTGTAGAAGTTTGAGGGTATTTTGAAATATTTGAAATTGACCCCTCTTTCTGAGATCTTCTATCAATGCGGCCATCATCGGAGTGACTTTTAGGTCACTTGAAAATATTTGAATTTTATGAAAATTTGAGGGCATTTTGAAATATTCAACACGGCCATCATTGGGGTGACTTTGAGGTCACTTGAAAATATTTGAATTTTGTGAAAATTTGAGGGCATTTTATAATTATTTGCTAAAACTTGTAGACTTCTATTTACCTACTTAGGAGGATCAGATTCAAATTTAATTTCATTTATTGACCAACGAAGCATCCATAAACGTCATGTGTGTACCCACAACAAGCGGGTGTACAATTGCATTTTCTCCTTTTGTGTACCTATGCGCACACATATTATAGTGCATGTACGAGGCATTCTTGGAATATTTGATGGGTCTCCTGCAGCAGCTCGTAAAAGCTTATATTTGCCTTTACTCTCTTGTATTTTGCTTGTGGACCGCACATTGGGACATAGTCGGTTTTCCTACAGCAGCTCGTAGGAGCTCACATCTGCAGCATATCATTTGCCCTTCGCTTGCAGAAGATCAATGTATTTATCAGTCATTGAATAGAGGTTAATCGTAAGAGTGTTGTAAAACAGTTGTTATCCCTCTAATTTGATCTATGCTTGCAAGAAGATTAATGTGTTTGTTGCTTGTCAAATTCTTCTACTTGAAGGGAGCCCTTGTATTCACTTTCAATCAAGTGGTATTGATTGTACAAAGGTGGCATTTACCTCAGACTTTTTGAATAAATCTTCGCTGACCATTATTGATTGTAGCTTGTAATGTTGAATATGCTTGCTTGTATTCTGATCTTGATTGTAGGACACTGCTACACTCATCACTAACCTTTTCATGCACATCGGTTAGCGAGCTATTATGTTCATCGCACTTATCGTGAACCTTTTGTATTCCTCTTGTAAACATGATGTCGCATTTGTTGTGTTTATCCTTGCTTTTTTGTAGGTGTGGTTAGTGTGATCATTGTGCCTCGGTCGTAATAGTTCATGGATGGGTTATAGTACGCATCTAAACTTCCATTATGTTGGTTGCAATTGAATTATATTTTTCCTTCAACTCCATTACTTGATGGATGTGAGCGAGCTCTTGGTGTTCTACCCGTCATCAATTCGTTGAGGATTCTTGCATACTTAACTGCAATCAAGTATGTATATTCCTTCTTGATTTCTATTGCTTGCGGGGTTGAATGCCTTTACTTCTATCTTGGCGCTGCTCGTAGAATATTGTTATATTCACTGAACATTGATCTTATATTGTAAACGACAGATGTATTCATGACCTTACTGCTTGTAAGTAGGCTGTTATGCTTGTCTATGAGTTTCTTGAAGTCGACCACAAAACATTGTTGCATTTCATTGCATACCTTCCTACATCCATAAGAATTTTCACGCATACTTGCAAAATGGTTGATTGTAGGAATGTCATCCAAGTCATGCCAGTTTAATGTTCAAATCAAGTCTAAGATAATTTCAGGTTCAATTTGGATTTAAATTTGGTTCTGGTCATTACATCGAGTTTAAGTTAAGTCTCATTCGATATCATGTTTGAGTCGGGTCTTTTGTGATCCACACCAAGTTTTTGTTTGAATTCAAATTGTTCAATTCATGTCCACTATGTTCTTTGTCAAGTTCAAGTTCAAGCTTGAGCTCATTGGGTTCAAACTCTAATCCAAGTTTGAGTTCACTGTCATTATAGCTCATATCACATTTGATTCCAAATCTTCATTGACCAAATCAAGTTTGTATTTATTCATTTGAGTACAAATTGAATCATCATTAATTATCTCTCTTAAAGTTCAAGTTCATTTAGATTCAATTTATTGTTACTTAGGTCCCCTGTTTCCTTCCAAGTTTTTATCTTTTTAGCAAAATTTCGGTAGCCTCCCGACGTCTCCCCCATTTAGGGGAAATTTCAGGAGTCTGGACCTCCCGCCATGATAGAAAAAAGCCTGTATGGTAGGTGTCGGATGACCCCGTGGCCAAAAAGTCTTAAATCCCACCACACCAGAGAAATGCGTGTATTGGTCTTCGGGCACCTGTTTGAAATACACAATTTTATATTTTTTCCCCTCCATGCTAGAGAAAAGCATGTACAGGGCTTACCCGCCTTGCCGTAGGTGTCGCACCGGGTTCCCTTCCCACCACGCTAGAGAAAAGTTTGTATGGGTGGTTTTCCGGCTCGACATGAACGTCGATAATGAGATTTTGAGTTTATAACTTATACCTGCACGATGTTGATGATGATGGCGGCGAAGACAAAATATACGAAAACATCTTTTTTATTTCCCTTTTTTATAAAACTCTCATTTTTTTTTAAGCTTTTTTCTTTCTTTTCTTTTTTTTTTTTCTGTTTTTTTTTTTTTTTTTTTTTTTTTTTTTTCTGTTTTTTTTTTTTTTTCAAAATTTCTCTTTTTTTAACACACAATATATATACATACAT